CGCTGGCTGCGGGCCCCTCTGCCCGCTGGGATGACTCCGTCCTCGCTGCGCAGTTGCCTCCCCGGGGCCCTGCCACACGTGCGGGTCCTGAGCGTGGTGGGACGTGGCAGTACGCGGGAGCCGCTCAGTCTCCTGCAGGACCGGCGGAGGCGAGGCGGCGGGCAGCTTGGCAGGAGGAGGGCCTCCACGGACCCACGGCCGCCCAGGCGAGGGCGGGGACACGGAGGCTGGGGAGTCGGGGCGAGAGCCCACGTGGAGTCAGTCGCGGCCGGACCGGCTTCCGTTAACACCGTTCCAGACGCTACTGTGCGCCGGGCACAATTTGGCTGAGAACCTAAAACTGCCCTGAAAGTCTACTCAGAAGGAAACGAAGATGCACCAATGAGCTCCTGGCGCCTGTGCTGCTGGGGCCGTGTCAAAAACAGCTGATTTCTCACCCATCCGTGGTGGACATTTAGGTTTTCTCCATCTTTCAACACCCACACACCAGGCTCCTGAACTGTGCCCCCGTCTTGGCGTAAACCCGGGCCCGGGACTGCGGCTCATCTGCTAACTGGTGACGCTCTGAGCCGCGGAGGTGAAGGGACTTTAAACCTGATCTAAGATGTTCCGTAAAAGCCTTGCTTTCTGTCCTGTCGTTCTAGGGCCGGCGCGTGAAGACGACACAGCAGCACAGCCCCACGGGTTCTGCGACGGGGTTCAAGCTTCTCGACAGGTCACTAGCTCCTGACGGGTGCTGTCACGGAGAGAAACCGGGACAGACTCCGAGGGGTCCAGGGACGCACAGCATTAACCCCACAGCCGCACCCGCCACCACCAGAGGGCGCGCGTGCGGCCTGCGGACCCACCGAGGCCTGGGGGCAACCGGCAACGGCGACGCCCTGAGGGCAACAAAGCCGCCCGCTGGGCACTCGGCCGGGGAGTCCCCACGAAGGGCACAGCACCCCAGAAGGATCTGCCCTGGGGCCAAAAGGGCAGGGCGGCCTATGAAGAGAACCGAGCTCTCGCTGCTGTTGGCAAAGGGTCTCCCATTGGGGCCCGAGGGTTCACATCCGCACGTTCACTTGAAACCCGCTTCGGCTGGCAAAGCCTTTCTTGATTCACAAAGCGGCTTCATTCCACAAGGGTCAGAGCCGCTGGCTGTGCGCTAGGCATTATTCCGGGAGTCGGAACAGTGCCGTTGGCACAAACTCCTACCCCCGTGACACTTACACGCTAGTGGGGAGGGACGGAGGAGGACGGCGCGGAGGCCATCACACATCAGACAGAACTAGTGCCACTGAGGACGCTGTGAGTGCGTGAGGACGGGCCACGATGGGCACAGGGAGCGGTGGCAGTTTTTTACTAAAAAAGTGGTAAGGAAAGACGACACTGAGCAAAGAAGTGCCTGAAGAGAGTGAGAGGGCACCTGAGTGTCTGTGGTAAGAGCTTTCATGTATGGGGAACGAGTGCAAAGGCCCTGAGGCCAGGGGCAGAAGCCAAAGCAGCCAGTGGAGCCCAGTGAGCAAGAGGGAGGGATCCAGGTACTGTCACTAAGGGCTTCGCCTCTGACTCTGATGGAGGAGGACTGGCTTAGGACCCATGGTTTCCTTCGGCTCCTGAGTTAAAAACAGACTGGAGATGACCAAGGACAGGAGCAGGGGCACCTTGGAGAGGCACCTGCAGAGCCAGGCAAACCCAAGACTAGGGCTCAGGATGGGAGGCGGCAGAACGTGGTGAGGAGTGGTCAGTCCGGCCGTGGCAGGAGCAGTGCTGGCAGGAGGCACAAGGCGGCACGTGACCTGGGGCCCGGGCGGGGTTCGGCGGGTGTCTTGGGCTCACGGAGTCTGGATCGAGGGGGGAGTGGAGGCACAGGGGAGTCCTGTGGACACAGACGCAGTGTGTGAACCGTTGTCTGCGTCTGGACTGGGACCCCCAGATACACCCGCTCGAGTGTGTGTGGGGGGGTGGGAGCCACAAGGGGCCACTGCCCGGCTTGTCTCCCAGGAACCCTGTGTGGGCACTTGCGCTGGAGGGAACCAGCCTTGCTCCGCAGCAGAGGGCCCAGTACTGCCCAGAACGGAGGAAACGGATCCCGCATAGCTCGGAGGTGTGGGAACACTCTGCAGCCCTGCCCTGAAGCGCTTATCAAGACTCTCCGAAGTGACGTCATTGTTTCCTGACAGCTACCCAAGAAGGACTGTCTGGGACACTTGAAAAAATGCAGACTGGTAAGCGCCCCCCGGACCATCCTTTTCAAGCTGGGGACCCTGATCTGGGGTGAGCCTGCATTTCCCTGACAGTGAAGGACGGACCTGCTCGGCGCTCCGCGGTTCCCGACTTCCCAGTTACAGGGCTCGTCTGGCGCGCTGCTCTGCTGCTGGGAGGGAAAGTACAGAGGCGCTGGGCTGAACGGTGGGCCCCCAGCAGAGGTCCGTGTCCTCACCCCTAGAGCCTGGGAAGGCAGCCTTGCGTGGGAAAGAGGACTTTGCAGGTGGGATCACGCATCTTGAGATGGGGTCACTCCAGGCTCCTCGTCGGGCACCCGTCAAGTGCGGGCAGAGGATTGACATGGGCAGGAGACACAGCCAGGGCATGGACGTGCCAGCAGCCACCAGGAGGGGAAGAGGCAGAGAACAGGATCCTCCCCAGCGAGAGCCGGGTTGGGACGCCTCCGGGCCTCCCGCACAGAGGACAGAGGCTGCTGTTCCCGCCCCCCGTCTGGGGTCATGTGACGGCAGCCACAGGAAGCTAATCAAACACGAGATGAATGTTCGTGACGAACACGGGGCAATGCATGCGGCGGGACCCTCCGGCTGGCTCTCTGCTCTTGGGTCTCGTCTGTACAGCAGCCACTTACCGCCCCACCCCAACTGCTCCAGAGAGCGCCGTGTCCAAGCAGAAGCTTCTGGAAAGCTCAGCAGGCCGCAGGCTCACCCAGAATCAGAATGTGTGCTCTTGGCCGCAGCTCTAGCGGTCGGCCCACCGGAGCCCCAAGAGGTGCTCAGACCCCATGTCCCCACTTGACCGCACACATGATCTCACCTCCAAGGCAAGCTCAAGGTCACCAGAAGGCTGCCCTCTGCTTTGACTCTGGAGGGAGGGAGAACACACGTGGCCCTGAGCCTCTGCAGGTGCGTCTGCTCCCCCGCACTGACCCCAGAGCCCAGCGAGGAGGCCAGCAGTGGGGGCTCCCCAGGAAGGTGAACGGGCCTCCGGCTCACTGAGTGCTGACCGCGGAGGAGCCACACCCTGACTCACGCAGCGGGCTGTGAGTCGTCCCAAACACAAGCGAGGGATGCTCCTTTCCGAGAGGCGCTCAGAGGCAAACGGGGAGCCGTCCCCCCACAGCAGGAGCGGAGGGGAGGGAAGACAGATGGGTGACTGTCCTCCGCCCGCCTCTGTGGAGGACACTGCAGCGGCGCCTGACAGGGCAGCGTGCTGCTTCCCAAGGCCTGGGTTGGACGCTGCCGTCCGTGTCTGCAGTTGGGAGACGTGGCATCAAACCACGTGAGACCAGGCTAAAGTGAGATTCTACTGCACGTCCCTGCGCAACGCGGCTGGGAAGCCCAAGTACCTAACCATCCCCCTTTCACACACCAGCGGAGGCACCAAGTACTCAGGCTCTACGAACTCCCCTCAGAGTCTTCTGGAAGCAGGGACTTTGCATGGCCCACAGCCCTGGAGCCCACAGGAGTCTCCCACCTGCAGCCCACGTGGTCCTCTCAGCTCTCCAAAGCCTCCCGCAGGACGCGCTGAGGCTGCCGGCGGCGGTGGCCGGCACAGCGCCAGGAGCCGCCTCTGGGCGACGGAGAGCTCGCTCGCCAGCACACACCTTCGCCTGGGGACGGAGGTGTCGGGGAGGCCGCGTCCTGCGCCCTACCACGTGGCTGTCAGTTCGGACGGGTCAGTACTCACTCGGAGTGCCTCCTGGGCCAGAGCAGACGAATGTCAAGCGCAGACAGTTTCCAGTTTCTGAGTTTCTGTCTCGGCTGCCAGAGATCAGCGGGGGAGTAGCTTTGGTCGGCTTCTTCAGGTTCTTCCCGTTCTATCTGCATCTCCGTGCGCCTTTGGCTGTTTCTCTCTTTAAAGTATGAGGTGGCTTCAGTACGGGATTCTGTCAAGCTCCCACTCCCGTTGCGGAAGCTTCCAGAGCCCTTCCCGTGCTCCAAATCCCGTGAGCATCTGCGGGTCTGTGAGGCCCTGGCCCGGTTCCCCATCGCTGCCAACCGTGTGCCTGCGTCCGCGCGCGTGGCTGCCGCGGGCTCCGTGGAGCTCGGCCGGGCCGTGCAGAGGTGCTCCCGCGAGTCGCCGGTGGGACCGTCACCGACACCGAGGACGGCCAGCCAGGATCCACCTGCAGGCGGGTGTGAGAAGCACCAGGACTAACTCCCCTTTACCTCAGCCCTCCGGCTTGCGCACGAAACCGCCAGCAGCAAACACAGAGTAGGACGCTACACAGCGAGGCAGACAAAGCACAGAAGGAGAGTCTTCCTGCGCGTGTGGCTCTTCTTACCAGTGTCTTGCTAACCGCATGGAGAGCCGTGGGAAGGCGGCGTCCCTCCCGGGCAGGGGCTCTGGCCGGCTGCAGCCCCGGGAAGGGCAACCCAGCAAGCGCCAGGAGGGCGCTCCCAGGTCTGCCGGGGGCAGCGTGTCTGTGCAGGGCTGGCGGGCTTCCGGTCCGGCCTGGCGGGGTCTCAGCAGAGCCGCAGGCTGTCCTTCCACCTCGTTACCTGACGTCACATACACGCCCGGGAGAAACAATCATTCCAGTAGCGAACCACAATGATTTCGGGTGACTCCAACACAGTCTTGGGGAAAAAAACATTTAATGCAAATATTTAACCACTGAAACATACAAATAAATAAATAGGCTCAGGAGAGCTGAGAAAACCCAAGTAAGTGTAACTGCAGCCTCCCTTCAGTCCCAGATAGTCCGCTTCCAAAACACTGATAACAAAATGCAGAGAAGGTACAGAACGTCCAACGTAAACCAACCTAAAATAAAGATAAAACCAAGGACAAACCCTAATTATTTTATTTCTGTATATCAAGACTACAAATAGCATTTAAACACTTAATTTATTATTCAAATTATGAAATTATACATTTTGTTTTGATATGGTCATTGTCTTAAAAGTGTCATTCAGTTTCCCCGCATTTAAAAGCATATTGCTAATTCTGGTCAATTCCATAGGACAGCCCACAGCCCCAGTGACAGGAAACGCTAGGTGAGGCAGAGGGAGGTCAGAGCGAGAGCCCTCAGGCCCCCCGCGTCAGCGAGGGTCAGTCTGGCTCTCCCAGCGGGTGCTCAGAGGCACTCCCCGCTCTCAGAGACTGAAATCACCCAGCAACAAGGTAGGTCCTGATAAAGTGCCTTTTGAAGAGAGAGTCACCACCTCCCCTCCCCCCGGACACGCGATGGGGACTGTCCAGTCTTCCTCCGGAGCAGCACCGTCGAGAAGCAGAGGGTGCAGAAGCCTGGCGCGCTGCCCAGGGACCGGGGAGAGGGGCGGGCGCGGCCCCGGGGTAAGGAGGACGGGCGGCCTCGAGGTCCCGCCACAGCAGGCCGTGCCCAGTGCAAAGCTGCAGCCCGCCACTTTGGTTCAAGTGACTCAGATCGATGCCAGTGTCTGCTCTCCCCGAGCCGCCGCCGATCACAGGCCACACGCGCTGCGGGACAGGCGAGCCCCTCCCCTCTCCCGCAAGCCCGCAGCCGCGCCGTGGAGCTGGACACGGGAGGACGCGTCCGCCCACACACACCCCCACACAGGAACAGCGGGACCGGCACGATGCGGTCAGCGAAACCGACAGGCATGCTAGTCCCGTTCGGGGGAATGGCTTAAAAAGCACAAATAAAATATTATCATCGCTGTGTATTTTCCAAACCTAACCACTTTGGGAAAAGGCAGCAGGAGAAAATGCCTTTAGTTTGAACAATCAGGACTGTAAACAATTCCGCCACACGAGAAGCAGGAGCCCCGAGAGGATGCGCCCCCAGCTCTCAGACCGGGCGTCTCTGCAGACAAGCACCCGCGCTGCGGCCCCCCCGGCCCCCCAGCTCAGGAAGGGCTCAAGTCCACTAGCAAAGCCAAAGCTTCTTCTTTGGTTAATTTCACTGAGTTGCCACTAGTCTTAAAACCGTGCTCCTCTCGGCACAGTCACTACAGTAGCCACATGGCACGTAACGTTTGCGAGTCTATGTTGTCGGAAAAGCAGTGTCCGTCTGAGTGAGTGACCATGACTTCACGGACCATCTGGAAAACGAGGGGGGGGGGAGGGAGGGACAGGGTGGGGGCAGGAGAGCTGCAGGAGTCCGGCCCCAGCGCCCTCGTGGCCGGGGGTGCTGCCCGCGGTGCGGGCCCTGGTCACTCCTCAGGGGTGGTGCCGGCGCTCGCTCAGCTCAGCTCGAAGCCAGCGGCGCACTCGATGGCGTAGAGCAGCTTTCGGCGCAGGAGTGCCTCGTCGTGGAACTCGGGCAGCTTGAGCAGGTTCATGCAGGTGCTGGCCGTGGGTAGCCGCGCCAGGTCGGAGCCTCCGTTGTGGATGCAGAACGCGGGGTACAGCTCCTGAAAAGATAGCAGGCGCGCAGGACAAGGCCTTAATGGGCGGCCCCTGGATGGACTTCTAAAAGCACACAAAACCCGCCTGCTCCAAACAGGAAAACGCCGTGGTCCCATTTTCCCAAAGACATCTGTTTCTGACGGCTTTAGGCTGAGCTCTGCGGGACGGCAGATACTGGGCACCACGCTTTGTGCCCGAGAAAGGGCGAGAAGGACATCCACTCACGGGAAACAGAACCTCTCCACCGAGCAGGGCCTCCACGGTTGTTTTAGTCTTTTAAAAATTTGTTTGAAATTCAAGAAGGCATGAGTGTGAAGACTTGAGCGCAGGAGGCTGCTGGCCTGTGTCAGAATAGACAGAAGCCCCCGGGGGAAGGAGCAGGGCAGGGACAGTGGCAGAGCACGTCTTCTCCAAACTCAGAGCCACACGGATGTCCCAACAGAAAAAAAACCAAAAACCAAACCAAAAAAACAAATTCATTCAAATGGGGAGGAAAACAGTGATCTTAAAATATTGAAAGCAAAATGAAACAAAGGAAGCTACACATTGGTGGCTTAATCACACAGCGAGGCACTGTTCTGAGTGGTTTTTTCTTTTCTTTTTTTTTTTTTTTTTTATAGATTTTATTTATGGGCACCTGGGGGGCTCCGTCAGTTAAGTGTCTGCCTTCAGCGCAGGTCATGATCCCAGGGTCATGAGATCAAGCCCTGCATCGGGCTCCCTGCTCAGTGGGAAGACTGCTTCTCCCTCTCCCACTCCCCTGCTTGTGTTCCTCTCTCACTGTGTCTCTGTCAAATAAATAAATAACATCTACTAAAAAAATAAAAAAATAAAAAACTCCGTTATGAAGAACTGAGAAGAGAAATCAGAGGCTGAAAAGTCCATATTGTTTACAACCTCACGTCTGTTGGGATGGCTACGATCAGAAAACCAGAAAGTAGGGGCACCTGCAGGGCTCAGTCATTCAGCGTTTGCCTTCAGCTCAGGTCATGATCCCAGAGTCCTGGCTTGAGCCCCATGTAGGGCTCCCTGCTCAGTGGAGAGTCTGCTTCTCCCTCTCCCTCTGTGCTCCCTCTATCAAATAAATAAAAACATCTTTAAAAAAAGATTTTATTGGGGTGCCTGGGTGGCTCAGTGGGTTGAAGCCTCTGCCTTTGGCTCAGGTCATGATCTCAGGGTCCTGGGATCGAGCCCCACATCGTGCTCTCTGCTCGGCGGGGAGCCTGCTTCCCCCCCACTTTCTGCCTACTTGTGATCTCTTTCTCTCTGTCAAATAAATCAATAAAATCTTAAAAAAAAAATAAAGTTATAAAAAAAGATTTTATTGATTTATTTGAGAGAGAGGGCTCGAGCGTGAGCAGGGAGCCCACCAAGCGCCCCCCGCCCGCCCCCGCGGTGTTGTTCTGAAGCCACGCAGTGTTCTGTAGAACTGGTGCCCATCTACGCAGAACGCCCCGGAGTGTGGGACCCGAGAACTCACTAGGAGATGAAGCAAAGGAGCAAATGAAAACCACAACTACCACTAGTAAAACAAAATCCAAATGTAAAATAAAAAATAAAAACCTTGGAAGTCTAAATTTGAATTGGAAATGTCAGTCTGAACTTGTGATGTGATTTTCTCTTGGGGGAAAAACCCACCCGTTTGCGAGCGCTGTCCGCGGCGTCCAAGTCCGGAAACGACGACCGCGCGCGACGACGAACAGCCGGACGCCCGGGTTTCGGCTTCTGAGGACCCAAATCTCACGGGAAGGACCCGGGGCTCCCCACGGAGCCAGGAGACCCACCTGACGAGCGTGGCCATGTGCCAGCCCACAAAGCCGCCCCGCAGTCCCCGAACGCGGGCCCCAATCGCAGTCCCCGCCCGCAGGCGCTCGCTCCGAGGGAAGGGGACGCCTGCAGTGGCCGAGGCACGCAGCGCGCTGAAGCCACGGGTTCGCGGTGGCGGCACAGGAGCCGAGCGGACGGCTGCCCCAGGCGCTGGCTCACCCCGGGTCCTGGGAACCGGCAAGTGAACAAGGATCACGGCTTATTCGATCATCTCTGCACGGAGCCCTCAGTGTGACCCACAAACTGGTGAGAAAAAATAAACTTTTCCTCACAGGCGATGCCCGCTGGGACATGAGGAGACGTTGCAGGCGGCAAACGGCTGCTTTACCGGCGCAGGACGGAAGGGATCTGGGGGCAGCGGCGAGGGGCGTCCGCAGCCCACGGGCCCACCCCACTCCCGCCCTGGCCCGGCCCAGCTCCCGGCCGGCGCGACGCTGGAACGCAGACAATGTCACCCACGCGACGCTACTGCCAGGAGAGAAATTCAGGTCTGGAGGCTGCGCACCCTCTAGCGACCAGGTTCGCAGGACGGACAGAGGAGCGACCCAGCCCCTCCATGAACTCAGGGACCAGGGACAAGAGAAGGGGGCGCAGACAGGTGGCTCGCTTGTCCCGGGGGCGCTGGCGGACAAACTCTCCGCAGCCTGGCCGCCGGCCCCCGAGCGCCGCGCCGGGGTCTTCCGCACAGGCCCACGGAGATCTGAGCACCGAGAGAGAACGGCTCCTCCTGCCCCACTCTAAGTCGGAGGACATCAGCACACTCCGGACACTGTCGTGGACCTCGGTTACTGTCCACGCGCTCCTCTGTCTCCACACTCTTCCCTCCTGCTTTTCTGGGGCTGTGCGGCGTCCTGCCGGATGTGGCGCGGCCCCTCTGGCCCACGGACGGTCGCGTTATTTCTTAATTTTACAAATTAAAAGGGGTGAGGAGACGGGCTATGTCCCCTCACCCTCGTGCAGGCGCGAGTGCCCGCGGGTAACTCGACCAGGCAGGCCGTGCGCGGAGCTCTGCGGTGGCCACAGTAACCGCACCCTCCCCTGTGCACACAAGCCGCACCCGGCCTCGGCGCGGCCCGCGTGTTCGCCTGCAACAGGAGCCCGATGACGGGGCGACGGCCTTCGTCCCGAAAGCCTGACTCGGCCAACGCTCGGGCAAGCGTTCTTTTAGCTCCGGTGCTAAGGGATTTCAGACACGCTGCCAGAGCCTGCACCCCTCACTGCACCAGGAAACGGGGCCCAGGAAAGCAAAACGGCCCCCCACAGGCGCCTGGCTGGTACCTGGAATAGATGGTTTCTCCTCGGGGTCAGTGCCCTGTACACTGTCATAGGCTTCCTCCTCAGAGCTGTGACAAGACACCTGTGCTTCCAACACCAGAGCGAAAGCTCACTCGGACGGTGGCGGGCACCTTCTCGCGCAATCCCCCTCCTTCCTGACTCCCCGCGAGGCCAGCCTGGACGGACTGCCCTGACCTCCCTCCCAGGACGGCGTCCTAAGCAGACAATCCAAGACACAGATCATGACTCACACACAAGGAGGTTCCTAGCCTCGTAAGGAGGACTTGCAATCAACTAATAGGAAACAGGAAGTCAATTGTGGTAAATTTGCAGGATGGGACATTACAAAATTTATTAAAAATATTTCAAGTACCTGCTTCCTCCCCCCTCTCTCTGCCTGCCTCTCTGCCTACTTGTGATCTCTCTCTCTCTGTCAAATAAATAAAATCTTAAAAAAAAAATTTCAAAGATGTTTTAATATGAAGAAAAATGATCCTGATGTAACGCTGAGTGGAAAAAAAGCCTATCGAACTGAGCCACATTTTGCTTAAATTATAGTCAAGAATTATGATCGAAGAGCATTGAAAATAATTCCCTACGAGCCACCGTCATGGAAATGAGAGGACAAAATGGGAGCGATGCCCCTGCTCAGGTGGGGCCCTGGGAGGCACCTGCACCCGTCGCCCAGCCGGCCCGGACGGCTTCCCGGCGGGTCTGCCTCGCTCGCAGGCTGAATTTAGCACGGACCGCACAACGCGGGCACGGCTGGGACGGAGCGGCCCACGCAACACTGACTGCAGACTTACACGCTGTGCATCAGCCCGGGTACGCTTCTCACTGCTAAACGGAAAGCTTCATTTAAACAGTATACGTGGCATATAATATGTGTGTTAAAACCACTGTCTTTTAAAAATTATAGTTCATATGCCATTTTAAGTGTCTCATAAAAGTGTCAGAACAGGAACCAAAAGAGAAACAGAAAGCACTTTAATTACATTTATTATTTCACATTCTGACTACATGGAGCGCAGTTAATTTTCTCAAATGCTTGAATAATCTAAGATGAAAACATCACAGTTTTGAAATACAAAAGGACCTTTGAAGGCAGAGCCAGCGGGCACAGGGAAGGTGAGTGACCGGCTACATGGTGGGAGCCTGAGACACGTTTTGAATTAAATGCCCCATTTCAGCGTTTCTTTCATAATGCTAATTGAATTTCCTCCTTGGAGTCTTAAAAGTAAAAAAAATGAAGTTCTTCAGTGAAATCTGAGTCAAGGGCACCGCGTCGTGCATAATTAAACAGAGCACAACGGGAATTTGCATTAATTCAGAGTGAGAAAAATCATCAATTTGTTACATGGCCCGATGGCAACTTAACAATTTTCTACAGCGCTTTAATGATTTTTCTGTCTGTAACAATCACATTCACTGAACATATTAAACTTTAATTAGCTTTAGCAGACGCTATTCTTCTCCAATAATGCAGCACTGAGTTTTGTAACTTCAAATTATGCAGGTTTGCCTTTGCTCCTTACGGCACTTGGACTGAAGGACACTCTTGCCGGGCCTGCCTAGCCGACTGGAAAGCACAAATACTAAGGTGATTTCTTCCACTCTGGAGTCTAACTTAGGACAAATGCAAAGATATCTGAAAACTCTAAACTAAATTTTACATTTAATATATTTTAGATCCTTGGGAAAAAATCTAAACTAGGAAAACGGTCTCATAGCTCCGCAAAGAACTTTTCATGGTCCGGTGACAGCTCAGTCATGACCGTGTGGGGTCAATAAGAGGGGACCAGAGTGTTCTCACTATGGGTCCGTGTGGGACTTTTCTTTTTTTTTAAAGTTTTATTTCTTTGTCAGAGAGAGAAAGAGAGAGAGCGAAGCAGGGGGGAGGCAGGCAGAGGGAGAGGGAGAAGCGGGCTTCTTGCAGAGCAGGGAGCCCGATGCGGGACTCGAACCCAGGACCCTGCGACCATGACCTGAGTCGAAGGCAGACACTTAATGACTGAGCCCTCCAGCTGCCTCTCTATGTGGGATTTTAAAACCTAATGTAAAGCCCCTCACTTCTCCTTTCCTTTAAACTTGCAACACTCTCTCAGGCCTTTTAACACATTCTCCTCCAGTTCCCAAATCTCTGGAACCTTCCCCTTCCAGCAACACCCCTAATTCTTACCAGCCCTCAACGAAATTAGTCAGGAGCCGGCAGAAATCTCTGGGTCCTCCTCTCAGTTTTGATGGGGGTGGGCCTTCCAAATCTCCCTTCACGGAACTAGGTCCTTACTTTCCTTACGTCTAGGTTCGGTGTCACTCTGAAGATTCTAGAAGCCTGGTCTCTCATAATAAAAGGTTGCTGATAAAACGATCTGATCGTTACTACAATCTTAGCATGTATCATGACTGTTTACATGACCAGATGATAAAACTTGGCCCGCAGAAGGCCCTTTCCTTGGTCCCATCGGTTGGCGCACCGCCCCCTCGTTCTTCCCGCTCTCCAGGCCCCAACAGGGCAACAACCCCAGACTTCATGACACACCCATGAGGAACCAAACGGCAAAGCTGTGTTTATTCCAGGCTGCTGCCTGGTTTTCCTCAGAGTCGCAGAGGCCCGTTTTCCTGTGCGGTCACGTGGGCCAGTGCTCGACACCGCGCAGCTGGCCCAGCCAGGGATGGTTCCACAGTGAGCCTGAAACGTCGCTCAGTTTCTGAGTCCCTGCTGAGGGGTGCTGCTGGTATGCAGCAGGGTTTTTTAACCCAGTCTGGAAGTTCTCCCCTTAACAGATGAGTTTATTCTACGTCCCTTGTAATGGTTCAGCTCCCTCATTAACGTCCCGTGTCTACTGCAGGATTCTTAGTGTTTTCTGTGTCTGACTGATGAAGTGGCTTCCGTTTGCCTTGCTGGGCACGCTTACTTCCTACCTTGGTACTTTGCAAGACAGAGAGTGATTTTTAGTTCTGGTTTCGCTGAAAATGACTCACGGCTTCCAAACTACAGCAGTCGCACAAGTCCTGCCTGCGCGCACGCCCCTCCCGCTTCTCCCCTCCACGGCTCCGGCTCGGGCGGTCCCACTGGGTGCCGCACGGAGCTACTGACAGTCAACTTCTTTTAAGACTTCTAAAAAAAATTTTTTTTAAAGGTTTTATTCATTCATTTGACAGAGAGCACAAGTAGGCAGAGAGGCAGGCAGAGAGAGAGGAGGAAGCAGATTCCCCGTGGAGCAGAGAGCCCGATGCGGGGCTCGATCCCAGGACCCTGAGACCATGACCTGAGCCAAAGGCAGAATCTTTAACCCACTGAGCCACCCAGGTGCCCCTAAAATTTTTTTTAAGTAATCTTTATACCCAATGTGGGGCTCGAACTCACAACCCTGAGATCAAGAGTCACATGTTCTACTGACTGAGCCAGCTGGGTGCTCCTACTGAGGTTAAAAATTTTTTTTTTAAGACTTTATTTATTTATTTGACAGATCACAAGTAGGCAGAGAGGCAGGCAGAGAAAGAGAGGAGGAAGCAGGCTCCCCGTCGAGCAGAGAGTGTGATGCGGGGCTCAATCCCAGTACCCTGAGATCATGACCTGAGCCGAAGGCAGAGACTTAACCCACTGAGCCACCCAGGCGCCCCCAAAGTAAAAATTTAAAGAATAACTCCTACCATATAACTCATTGATTGAAGGTTCCCGGAAAGTACATGCCTCTCTGTTAAACCAGCACTGCAGAACTCCATGCTTATCTGAACTGACACTCTTCCCTATCATATATACACACACCGCTGTGTATTTTAAACTATTAACGTTGCTTTAATTGACAATGAATAAGGGAACCACTAACTGTCCCCTAAGCTTAATTGCTAAAGATATTAAGTTGAACTAATGAGGTAATCATCAATTATTGGAACTGATAAGTAACACAAAATAAGTAACAGGGAACAACCAGGGAAAAATACACCCCTGATGCCTTGAACAAGGACGGTCTGAACTCCACGAGTCCACGTGCATGCAGATGTTTCGACAAGCGCACATCTGTACCACAAAGGCGCCTTCCCGCTACGAGGGCCGCTCCCTGCTGTCTGGCCGCCTTCCTCTGGGGATGCCGCGTGCGAGGCACGGCTCACTGGCTGCCCCGTCAAGAGCTGTTTGCAGTTAAGTTCTGGAAGTGTCAAGAGGTACCTGTGGATCTTCTCTGTGCGGTGGGGGTACAGCTCCTCTGCTCCCTCTTTCCTCTCCCCAAACACCCTACCTCCCTGTTTTTAGCTTGTGCTCTCCTCAGCGAGGAGGAACACGGAGGAGATGGTCCTTTACGTCCCGCTCTTTACGTCCTTTACGGGTCCCCAGCCCGGTCCCAGGCCATCGTGACCACAGCCACCCTCAGCTAACCCGGGACCCGCGCCAGGAATACGCGTGGTGACCCGCACGGCAGGATCCGGCGGACACTTAGCGCCACCAGGGACAGAAAGACCTGGCGCCGCACGCGCACCGCACCGCACACCACGAGGCGGCGCACACGTCAGGTCGCCCGCGGGGCCCTTCCTCCCCGAGCGGCGCGGGGCCGCCTACCTTGAAGCCCAGGAGAGGCGGGCGGGAGCAGCTCGTGACAAACTTGAGCAACTTGCGCTTCTCCTCGTCCGTGAAGCCTTCCACGACCCTCCAGAAGACTCTGATGACCGGGTGGTCGGCCGAGTAGCCTCCTGTGGGGACGAGAACAGACGCGTCAGCGCGAACACGGACGCCGGCATGGGGCTGCCCCGGAAACGCAGAGCAGCTACCTGCGGGGCGGCGCGGCGTCACCCCACCTGCCGGGGCTGGAGGCGACACCCTGTTCCCCAGACAGCTTGCTTCTAAGCAGGCTCCGCGCCCCACGCGGGGCTCGAACGCGCCCTGCCCCCATGTGACCGGGCCAGTGGGTGGCCTGGCCGCTCTGCTCCTCCTGCTCTGGGGAGATGACGCACGAGCAGGGGAGGGACAGCGCAGCTCTGAGGACCCAAACCTAAGGCCAGGGCAATGGCGAGCCCGGGCACAGCGACGCTGCAGAGGCGTCCGAGCGTTAACAACCAGACTCTGAGGGGCAGACCCTGAAAACCAGGGACTTACATGAGAGCCACGGATCCAAAAACTTGTTTCTAACACACCCGGTTACTCTGCCCGCGTGATCTAAGCGTCTCGCCGCACTTCACAGCCCCCCGCTCGGCCAGCAGCGAGCCCCGCGCGTACGACACCTGCTCTCAGCGCGACGGCCGCTCACTACTCTTCATCTGGTTAAGTGCTTCCTAAAACTGAAATAATTGCTATATATTGTTCCCCCATTGTTAATACGCTACAGAAATAACATCGATAAAGTATCTTAAGTGCATTAATTGGCACCAAAATGAGTATGATAATATTTTAAAGCCTATTTACTGGAATAGCGGAGATCACTAGAGATCTGAGCTTCCAGTGCGGACAGGTGGTGCGAACAGCCCAACAGCTTCTTGGCAAAGGAAAGGCTGGACTGGTTCCCCTTCTGTAAAATGATGACTGGAGAGTGGGGACAGAGTGACCTTAGGTATTCTCTGCCTTTACATAAACATTCGAGTTCAAACTTACAGCAGTAAAAACTAATGACAGAAGGGGGAGATACGTGCACACATTTATGTACAGATAAATGCATGCATATTTGTATATTAATGTCAGTGTCCGCAGACTCAGACGTTGGCAACCATGGCCGCAACCCCCCTTGGAACACCCCCACTTTCTCCAACGAATCCCACGTTCCCCGCAGACCACCGAGGCCTGCGGGCTCCGCACGTGCGCTCTCAGGGAGGCTGATGCACGTGGGGGAACAGGGCCGCGATGGGGCGCCTTCTCCGGCACCAGCTCCAGACCCCGCCAGAGTGACCTTGCGGGAAAGCTGGGAAAACGGGGGCCTTGCGGGAAAACAGGACTGAGAAGTCTGCATGGGGTTCTTTCTTCAAATCATACATTTCACCATTTAAACTTTCTTTTTTAAAAGATTTTATTTGAGAGAGAGTGAGGGGCGAAGAGTGGGAGGTATTTCATATAAGTTGAGTCATACCACATACGTCCTGTTTTGTGCCTGGCTTATTTCACTTGGCATGACGTTTCGAGACGTATTAGAACTTCGTTGCTGTCGAAGACTCAGTGACACCCACTGCTGCACACAGAGCACACCTGCTCCTCCATTCATCTGCAGGACACCGTTCGGAGGGCCCCTCTGGGCCCCTGTGAATGATGCTGTGTGAACACCCGCGCACAAGTACGTATTCAGTCCCTGCTTCCAACGCCCTTGGGTGCACACGCGAGAACGGAATTGCTGGGCCCGATGGTAAGTCTGTTTAGCTTCCTGGGGAGCCACCAGACCATTTTCCATAGTGGCTACTTTATAGGCCAGCAGCCAGCAAGGGTTTCAATTTCTCCACAACCTTGACCACACTTGTTACTCTCTACATGGTGCCTGTGTGAGTCGTCTTCATGGATGGGTGACCTGTTTCACTGTTGTCTCATCTGCATCTCCCTAACGACTGGTCACATTTGGGTATCTTCTTTGGAGAAACGTCTATTCACGTCCTTCTCCCATTTATGACTTGGCTTGTCTTCTTGTTGAGTTGTAAGAGTTCTTTATATATTCTGAACACATATATATGATTTCCAAATATTCTCCCCTTTTACAGGTTGGCCTTTTTACTTTCTTGATAATGTCTTTTGATGTACAAAGTTTGTAATTTTGATGAAGTCCCATTTCTTTTTTCTTTTTTTGCTTATGCTTTTGCATCATATCTAGGAATCCAAAGTCAAATCCAAGATCATAAAGACTTACCCCTTTTCTCCTAAGAGCTTTATGCTTTTAGGTCCTACATTAAGGTTGCTGACCCATTTGGAGTTCACTTTTGTATATGGTGTGAGGTAGGAGTACAGCCACTTTCTAACTCATGGTCAACTTCTGCAAAGAGCCGCCACCATTTTACGTGCAGTCAAGAGGGTTCCACTTTCTCCATGTACTCACTAACACCTGGTACTCGTCTACCTTTCTGATTACAGTCTTTCCAGTGGGTACATAGTGTTCTCTCATCACGATCTGACTTTGTGTCGAACAGCTGTTGCTGTGCTAATTTGCTTACTGGCCATTTATACGTATGTTCTTAGGTGAAACTTTTTTTTGGCTATGTTTTAAATTCAACTGCTTGTCCTACTAAGTTGTAAACGTTCTTTATATATATTATATATATCTCCTGAACATGGTTTCTTCCAATCTGTGGCTTGCCTTTTCATTTTCTTAACAGTATCTTTTGAAGCACAAAAGCTTTAATTTTGAGGAAGTCCAACTTTCTTTCGGTTTCTTTTTTCTGGCTCATGCTTTTGGTGTACAACCAAAAACTCCGTCCAATCCAAAGGCCATGCAGATTTTCTCCTTTATGTTCTTTTAGAGGCTTTATAATAGTTTTGGCTGTTACCTACGGGGCTCCCATCCCGTTGAGCTCATTTCTGCACGTGGCGTGAGGTAACTGAAGCTCTCGGTTTTCCATGTGAATGTTGTCCCAGGACTGCCGTACCGTCAAGTGAATGGTCAACGGACCATAAACATGCGGATTTGCTTCTGAACCCCTGATTACGTCGCATCGATCAGTGTGCCAGTCCTGGTGCCAATTCCACAATGTCCTCACCACTGTGGCCAAAGGAAGTTTCAAATCCAGTGTAACTCCTGTAACTTGCTCTTCTGCAAAACTGTCTCGGCTATTTTGGGTCCTTTCCGTTTTGAAATGAACTTAAAAATCAGCCTGTGTGTTTCCACCGATAGGCCTGCTGGGATTTTGGTAGGGCTGTGTGGAATCTGTCGATGAACATCGGGCGATATGGAGTGTCCGACCCGTGACGCCGGGCTGTCCCCTCTTCCTCTCTGTGGTGGCGTGTGTGCCGCAGCGAACGGGTCCCGCGTGTACGCTTTCTTTGCTGTGTCTGCACTATATTCTTTTTTCCGTTACCCTGAATGAAACTGCTTAATTCTGTTCTCGGATTGTGTGTGAGACCAACATTGGTTTGTGGTACTGATTTGTGCTGAAATGGTTTTTTAGTTCTCATTTCATTTTTCTGTCAAGCTATCTATGAAGAAAACCGGTTTTACTTCCTTTTTGGGGGCGGAGGGGCATAGGGAGAGGAGGGAGAGAGAGGATCTTAAGTGGGCTCTACACCCGGCGTGGAGCCCACCGTGGGGCTTGCACTTACGACCCTGAGGTCATGACCTGAGCCGGAACCAGGAGTCGGAGATACCTGGCCAACTGAGCCTCACGGGCGCCCACGGTTTCACTTCTTTCACTTTTCTTTTCCAACCTGGACGTTTTTCTCTTTCCTTTCCTGCCTCCTGCCTTACTGCGCTAGCTAGAAACCACGGTCACGTGCCTCTGACGTAGGCAGGCAGCATTTAACCTTCCCCAGGGTGCCAGCAGTTCTGACGTGCTGTGCGTGTCCACTCTCAGGGCGAGAAAGTTCCCTCCTGTTCTAGTTTCCTTAGGGTTTTCATCCCAAATGGATAGGAGACGCTTAGATGCGCCACAGCTGCGCTCGCTTTTTCCTTTCTCTTCTGCCTCGACTGAGATGACTGCGGGTCCTGTTCTCTGCACTGTCAGTACTGCACGTTACGTGAAGACGTTTTCAGATGTCAGATTAACTGTGCATTCATGGGGTGGGTGCTACTTAGCTGCTGGATTCAGGCTGCTAATATTCTGAGGACTTTTGATCTTTGTTCCTGAGGGATATTAATTTATTAGTTTCTTGTGTTATTTTTGTATCAGGCTAATAGTGACCTTTGAGGAGAGAAATCCTCTCCTCATTCAGCTGTAGCTGGAACTCCTACACAGGGTATGTTTTTAAGGCTTAAATACTGTTCTGGGAGAAATACTCATTTCATAATATTTATTTATTTATTTATTTAAAGATTTTATTTATTTATTTGACAGACAGATCACAAGTAGACAAAGAGGCAGGCAGAGAGAGAGAGAGAGAGAGAGAGGGAAGCAGGCCCCCCACTGAGCAGAGAGCCCGACGCGGGGCTCGATCCCAGGACCCTGAGATCATGACCCGAGCTGAAGGCAGCGGCTTAACCCACTGAGCCACCCAAGCGCCCCCATTTCATAATATTTAGAAAACAGAGAAGAACAATGAAGAAAAGTCACTTGTAATTTTGTCAATTATAAATGACTATTTTATGAAAATGAAGTGACTTTAAATTTTTTTCTGATTTTTAATTTTTTTAAACTATTTTATTTATTTATTTGACAGATCACAAGCAGGCAGAGAGAGGGAGAAGCAGGCTCCCCGCTGAGCAGAGAGCCCGATGTGGGGCTCAATCTCAGGACTCTGAGATCATGACCTGAGCCGAAGGCAGAGTCTTAATCCACTGAGCCACCCAGGCGCCCCCCTAATTTTTAGTTTTTTAAAGTAGGCTCCATGCCCAATGTGGGGCTCAACTCATGACCCTGAGAGATCAAGAGTTGCAAGCTCCACTGAGGGAGACAGCCTGATGCCCCAACACTGGAATGACTCTGTAGTTCTCCTGGTCTTGAAAAACGAATTACGCAGCGTGTACCAGATAATAAGGAAAGGGAGCGGACACTGCGTAGCAGCGAAGGGCCTCACGCCCGCGACCACGCACCACTCCTGCTTGGTCCTACCAGACCCCAGCTGTGGAGACGTGGTTTCACACGCACTCATTGTATCATCACGTTTACTTAAGAATATGTCTACATTTTCTAAGATATATAAAACATTTTTAATATTATATTTCGTTTTTTAAAAAGTAATCTCTATTCCCAAGGTGGGGCTTGAACCCATCCCCAAGATCAGGAGTCACATGTTCTTCCAACGGAGCCAGCCAGGAGTGCTGCTACATAAAATGCTTCAGGGGTGGGGCGCCTGGGTGGCTCAGCGGGTTAAAGCCTCTGCCTTCCGCTCAGGTCATGATCCCAGGGTCCTGGGATCGAGCCCCGCATCAGGCTCTCTGCTCGGCAGGGAGCCTGCTTCCCTTCCTCTCTCTCTCTGCCTGCCTCTCTGTCTACTTGTGATCTCTGTCTGTCAAATAAATAAATAAAATCTTAAAAAAAAAAAAAAAAGATAAAATGCTTCACGGGTGCCTGGTGGCTCAGTCAGTTCAGTGCCCGACTCCTGGTCTCGGTCTGGGTCATGATCATGGAGTCCTAGGATAGAGCCCTGCGTCAAGCCCCACATTGGGCTCTGTGCTCAGCATAGAGTCTGCTTGGCCCCTCTGTCTGCTCCTTCCACACTTGTGCTCTCACGCTCTTGCACAGATAAATAAATAAATAAATAAATAATAAAATCTTTGGGAGAAAATAATAAAAAAATAAAAAACTTTAAAATGTCTGTGCACAATAAAATTAAGAATCAATGGCTCACGGGGGTGGGGGGTTGGGACGGCCTGGTGGTGGGTGCCAAGGAGGGCACGTATTGCATGGAGCACTGGCTGTGGGCATAAACAATGAATCTTGGAACTTACATTAAAGTTAAATTAAAAAAAAAAGAATCAACGGCTCACAACTACAGATCTTCATATGTATTTAAGATCTGGAGTTTCCTACAGATGAGAAAAAAGAATGAAGGGGTGGAGTTACCCTCAACCAAGCTCCAGAATGTACGCCATCTCCTCAGTGCTAATCCTACTTGCCACACTCTCTCTGCGAGTCCTACCCATCCTAATCTCACCCCCTGAAGTCTTCACATCCTTAATAAGCAATTTAACTTCTGGGCTTCTCTCATTAAAAAAAAAGAAAAAAAAAGAGTACACATAGAAATAAACATAAAACTATTATAGTGGAAGGTTAAATAAATCATATATACCTATTTAATCTCAAAAATTAGTTGTAAGAAGAGTAACAGCTTAGAGATATATGTATGTGTGTGTGTATATATATGTACACATATGTTATATTTTTATTTATTTATTTTTCAGGAGACAGAAGTTTATTGAACACACCTCAAGGGCGGACAGGACAGCAGAGGAGAGGCTGTCTGCTGGAAAGAGCTTATTTTTATTTTTGATGCTACACAATGTATACTATAAATTATGTATCACCACAAACTAGGATAGACTGAAATTCCACTAAAATTACGGTGATTGTTTTAAGGATTTTTTTTTTTCTCTCTTCATGTTCCTAAGTGTGTATGCGGTTAATTTAAAAAACTTACAAATGCCCAAAAGATACGCCAGGTCCAGATCTGAACAATCTCTCTCTCTGATGACTAATGTCGTTAAGCATCTTTCTATGTGTTAACTGGCCATTTGTGTATCTTCTTTCTGGTGTTTCATTTTCTTGAAGGGCAGAAACTTTTAAGTTTAACTTAATAAAAAGGAGGTCCAATTTTTTTTGTTTATTCTTTTTAATTGTTAGTGTTTTATGTTTTGTTCTGGTTTTTGGGTGGGGCGTTGGCAAGCACTGTTTTAAAAGCGGAAGACTAGAAGCAATCCAATGCATTCGTGGAGACTTAAGAAAACACGGTGGGAAGATAAAACCACAAGAGGCAGAATCATGTGTAAAAACGAGGACAGTAAGAAGAGCTTCTGTAGTTGTGTGTAAAGATACACAGAACCAAAGAGCAGCTACTTGCTGGGGGGCAGGCGGAGGCAGAACGGGCCAGCCGGGGATTTCCAGGGCCCTTGTGCTGGGCTCCAGACCGTGTGACTGAATCACCGAACAGAAAGCAAACGGAAAGTCCACTTGGAAAGACCATCTGTAACGTTTTCAGGAATAAGCAAGCAGCAGTGGCAACTTACCTGAATAGTTTGTAAACGATTTGAGGTCGTCCAGACTTATGGGGACTTGTGCACCAGAAATCAATACCTGAAAAACAAGTTCGATTCGTAAAACGCGAGGCAGCCTGCCAGGCGGCTCCTCCGAGTCTCATGGCAGCGGGGGTCCCGGGGGCCGCGGCCGGCCCACCTGAATCTCCTGCTGGTCGAACATCCGCAGCCACTCCAGGTTCACCACGTTGGCCAGGCCCTGCCTGAAGGCCAGGCAGTGCTGGCGGATCTGCCTGTTCAGCCTGTAGTCAGCCACGAGGTGGATGTACGCAATCCTGTTGGCACTCGTCACAGGGATGTCTTTGCCACCAAATTTCAGTTCGACCACCTGGAAAGAGTAAAACAAGGGTCTGGAAATTCTAAGTAGGACTAGAGCAAAACGAAAGCAAAAAACACTCACATCAGAGAAACTCGCTAGCGCGGCTTTGGACACAGGCAGCTGAGTAAAAGGCCGTGTGGCTGGTGACCTGCCAGCCTGGGTCGGTGCAAGGACACCCCGCGGATGGGACCCTCCACAGCCGGACGTCTTATTCTGCCTTTAGGAGCGTCAGCCACCAATGCAACAGGGTGATGACGGCAACTCCGTCGTAAAAAAATTAGCAATCTGGGGCGCCTGGGTGGCTCAGTCAGTTGGGTGTCCGACTCCTGATTTCGGCTCAGGTCATGATCTCAGGGTCGTGAGATCGAGCCCCACGGCAGGCTCTGTGCTCAGCGGGGGGTCTGCCTGAGACTCTCCCTCTCCCCCTGCCCCCCCCCCACAGGTGCACGTTCTCCTTCTCTAAAATAAATAATTGAAAGTTAAAATAGGGTACCTGACTGACCCCATCGTCGAGCATCTGCCTTCAGCTCAGGTCATGGTCCCAGGTCCTGGGATCGAGCCCTGCATCAGGCTCTCTGCTCTGCAGGGAGCCTGCTTCTCCCCTCCCGCACCCCCTGCTTGTGTTCCCTCTCATGCTGTGTCTCTGTCAAATAAATAAGTAAAATCTTAAAAAAAAAAAAGTTAAAATAAATTGTGAATCACAAAGGGCAAAGATATGAACCGAAAAATGAACTCATGTCAAAAGGGATTCACTCTGGAGAAAATACAGCCTAAGGAATGAAGGTTGTAGTGGAATCATAACTCATATATTTGTACAAACATAACATTCTTCCCTTTGTGCCTCTGTCATATTGTTATCACTATGAAGTACTTCATTCTTTCATTCTTTTTTAAAAAAGATTCTTATTTATTTATTTACAGAGAGAGAGACAGATACAGGCAGGCGGAGGGAGAAGCAGACTTCCCACCAAGCAAGGAGCCTGATACGGGGCTCGATCCCAGGACCCCAGGATCATGACCTGAGCCAAAGGCAGACACTTAACGACTGAGCCACCCTGGGGCCCCTCATTATTTTTATTATTTTTAAAGATTTTATGTTTAACTTATCTCTACACCAACGTGGGACTTGAACCAACAACCCAAGGTGAAGTGTCGCAGGCTCCCCTGACTGAGGGGCCAGGGGCCCCTCATGTACTGCAGACAGGACTCAGAGGACAGCAGTCCATTAGAGATGACGGGCCGTCATTCAGATGGCCCACTCCCAGGGACAGCCTTCCATCATCACCGGACCATGCTCACGCAGTGTGTCGGGGGCACAGCGCTGGGTAGCAGGGCTGGCAGCACCGGGGTGTCAGCAGGAAGCCGGGCAGGAGCCAGGGCCAGACGCTGGCTGTCCCCGCCCACTGTGACGGGGACAGCTGCAACCCCCACCCCTGTCCCGGGAATGGCTTTCGTCATTAATAAAACAGTGGTATTTCTGCTTGGTCTACCCTAGGTCTGTGGTCTGTAAGCTCACGTGAACCAAAGGTGACGGACAACACACCACAAGCCATCGCAGATGCGTCAGCCTAACGCACAAGAATGCACCATTTTCACGTTTGCTGACTTCTCGGATGCACCTGGATGAGGCCGCCTGTGCTAAGAACAGAGACAGCAAGTGAAGACGACGTTCCCGACGGCCGGTGGGTGGCAAAGCTCGGGGTGAACACAGAGCACTGCCCAGACTGCGGGTCACGGAAGCCGCGGGCACGTCCTTCTCGCGGTTCAGCATGAACGAGGACAGCACCTCTGGCTCCGGGCAACGGCCTGCCCCGGGCAACGGCATCTTGGGCAGTTTCTGCACCACTTCCCACGGAGGCCATTGTCCCGTCACGGAGGAGCTTTCCTGAAATCATCTACGCCATGGCCGCCCGGCCACCTTGCGCTACGGACACAACAAGGCTTCGACACGTGGGCTAGTTCGACACTAGCCTGCTCGCTAGTGCCTGTGCTCCGGGCTGGAACCAGAGGCCCAAGAAAGGCTCTGAATCCACACCTCCTCTCACTTCCCCACTCCGGGGAGACTGTGATGCATCCTGTGCTTGCCGTCCGTGTACTACCTGGGCCCCACGAGCCCGCGGTGCTGCTTTCCTGCACAACTACCAGCCCTTACTCCACGTGCACCAACAACGGGAACCAAATGAGCAGGCAGTGAGTGATTCAAAGACAAAGGACCTGGGAAACCGTCAGGTAAAGGACCCCCAAAGCCCCAGACCCCCTGCCTTATCAGATGGCAAGGCTGTTTCCAGGGACCGCAAGGGGACAGCGTGTGGTCATCTCCGCTCCCGTCTCAGCGACGCTGGAACAGCGACCCAAGTCTCACACCGTATTGGATCGGTCCTGGGCTTCCAGGGTGAAGGCGTATTTACATCTCTCAGTATGAACCAGGGCAGCTCTCCTGCACTGTGCTTCCCGCCCCTCCTGAGTGCGGCTGGACAGCACTGGGGGGCACACGGGCTCCCCACCCAAGCGCACCCACTTCATCCTCGGGGCCCCATCCACGCCCTCTGGAAGGGCGGAAGCGCTGCTGTGACCAGCCCAGGGTCATGCGGCGTGGCAGCAGAACCAGGGCCTGAACGAGGTCTTGCGCCTCAAGTTCATGCTCTGGGCGCAGCAACACTCAGGGACCACCTTAAACCCTGAGCCCTTCCTTAGCAGAGATACGTGTACAGACTCGTGGTCTAAAATTTCACATTCGTTTTTAGGCAGGCTAACAGCCGTACTGATTTCACCGAAGAAAACAAGTTGGGGAGAAACCCTCGTATTTCCGAAAGGAAAATTAACATGACCTACCAACATAATGGAGTATTTGCATGTTAGAACTCTCTAAGTCACGGTATTTCATGTACTTAAACCCGTACAGAGGACTGTTTCTGTATCTGCCGCTGCAGGAATCCGGAAGGTGTCCCCCAAAGATCAGCTGCTTTCCAGGGACTTTCTCAGTTTCCTTGCTAGACCCTTCAGTGCAATTATCCCTCTGCGCGGCCACCCACAATCTCTTTATTCAGCGGGCACTGAATCGTCACTTCGCACTTCTGCTTCTAACCGGTTCCAGTGTTACCCGAGCTGCTCTAACGGACGCTTACGTGGGCGACGTCTCACAGTCACCGTCTATCTCAGAAGGAAAATGGGAAACACTCCCGCCAGCAGAGGCCGTGGGCAGGTCACTATAGAACCGCCCGGTGCTTTTACTTCATTGGTGAACCACGCCAGCAGGCGGCCTGAGACGGGGACCCGCGGCCTCGCTCCCGCCGTGTTCACGGTGTCCTCACGCTGTGACACACAAGTCTGACTGCGCAGAGCGAAACTTCGGCTGTTGCAGATGGAAGGGGTGGGAACAAACACAACTAAGCGAGCCATAACCAGGATGGGGCTCTGTCCTCCCCGTTCTCATCTCCTCTCCCGGCGCCAAGGTCAGTTCTCCAGAATGCCCAGAGGTGTCCAAGTGAGACAGGGAAGCAGGAGGCCAAGGTGGTGTCATTTCCCTTATTTCCACTTAGGATTTAATCCACACCTATTTCTTAAAAGGTGGCTTTTTGTTGTTGTTTTTGAAGATTTTACTTATTTGAGAGACAGTGTGAGCTCATGCACGGTGTGGGGGGAGGAGGGCAGAGGGAGAAGAGGGAGAGAGTCCCAAGCAGACCCCCTGCCGGGCACAGAGCCCCTGATGTGGGGCTCGATCTCACGACCCCGAGATCATGACCTGAGCCGAAACCAGTCGGACGCTTCATTGACTGAGCCTCCCCGGTGCCCCAGGAAAAAGTAGCCGTTTAAAGGCCAAGAAACAGACTAAAACTCAAGTACCACGAAGGCAGGCAGAACACCCAGAGTTTAGAACGAGGACGCGTAAATCTGAGTATGCTTCTCATCTCCGCTCCCGAAGACATCCCTGTTGTGGGGCCAAGCGACGGTTCAGCAGTCCCAGGATCGAATCTCAGCTTCCTGGGAAGGGAGGCTCAGGGGTTTTCTTTTTTCTTTTCTTTTTAAAGGATTTTATTTTTTTTAAGTAATCCCTACATCCAACATGGGGCTCGAGCCCACAACCTGCAGATCAAGAGTCACACATTCCTCTGACCAATCCGGGCGGGCGGCCCTCAGGTGTTTCCTTGTTACTCTTCCTGCCGGCTCTGAAACGCACGTGTTTAGCCCGCTGTACCCTGAGGAACTGAAATCCTGCAAACCAGGATTTGGAATCAAACACTGGGTCTCCTTCCGCGTATGTCCTTGCCCCTTCTAAAGCCCAAGGCCTCTAACTGTTCTCCACAACGGCAGGAGAACGCGACTCACTGGCGTCCGTCCACCTTCTCTTGTATGCCCCTAAGCTTAGCTGCTTTTTCTTTTTCCTTTTTTTTAAGAAGATTTTATTTATCTGACAGACAGAGATCACAAGTAGGCAGAGAGTCAGGCAGAGAGAGAGAGAAGGGGGGGAAGCAGGCTCCCTGCTGAGCAGGGATCTCTCCAGGATCCTGAGATCACGACCCGAGCCGAAGGCAGAGGCTTTAACCCACTGAGCCACCCAGGCGCCCCTTGACTACAGTTTTAATATGAAGTTACTTTTAAGGTTGCAAAGCTGATGACCTTTGAAAGCCTGAATTAAAAACCAGCAACAGAAATTTACAAAGATTAATGGTAATGAGCGTTCGTAGTTAGAACTATTAGATTCAGAGAAGATTACTCATCTACATAAGAATGGCAGAAACGGGGGCGCCTGGGTGGCTCAGTGGGTTAAGGCCTCTGCCTTCGGCTTGGGTCATGATCCCAGGGTCCTGGGATCGAGCCCCACATTGGGCTCTCTGCTTGGCGGGGAGCCTGCTTCCTCCTCTCTCTCTCTGCCTCTGCCTACTTGTGATCTCTATCTGTCAAATAAATAAATAAAATCTTTAAAAAAAAAAAAAAAAAGAATGGCAGAAACGCTGCTTCTCCCTACAAAACAGAGCTGTTTGTCTAAAAACCAAAAATTAGAGAAGCACGTTGGCCACTTTAAAATCTGGTAAAACGAGACATTAACAAGTACGACTTCAAAGGTCCTCCAACAATCCGGTTTGTCGTACACGTTAAAAAAGGTTTTGCAAATTAGGGAACCATCTGAACGTATGCTAATGTACACAAAAAGTACGCCAAATGCCCCCCACGCCAACCGCCCATTTTAGCAAGTCCCACCTGGTGGCCAGTCTAGCCCATCTCTACCTCCCCCCACGGCTCCGATCTCATTGCACTGCAAGGAAACCCCGGGTGTCAGCAATCCTTCCACGCTTAGTGTGTGGTACAAGAACATTCCTAGCATACTCTTCCTAACAGCTAAAAAGTGGAAATAACTCAAATGTCCGTCAACTGGGAGACTGGCGTCCCCACACGACGGAGCGCCGCTCAGCTGGACAGAGGGACGAGCAGGGGCTCCTACGGCAAGGGAAAGCAGCAGCCACCAAGGGCCACGGCCACAGGGTTCCCGTCCCGCGCCGCACCTGGGGTAGCCGAGCGTGCTCAGCAGGCAGGTCGTGCTCACCGATGCGGGGTGGGATGGGCCTGCTAATGTGCACCGGCTTCTCTGGGGAGAGGGCGGCACACCCGGAACGCGCTGACCTGCGCCGTCCTCAAAAGCGTGATTCTGTGGTATGCAAATCATGCCCCAACAGTGCTGTCTTCTAAAAAAATCAGTTTCGATCTCTAACATGTAGGGGTTTTTTGTTTGTTTGTTTTTAAGAAGAATAAAGACATGGGGCACCTGGGTGGCTCCAATGGTTAAGTGTCTGCCTTCGGCTCAGGTCGTGATCTCAGGGTTCTGGGATTGAGCCCCATGTTGGGCTCCCTGCTCGGCTGGGAGTGTGCTTCTCCCTCTCCCTCTGCTGCTCCCTGTGCTCATGCTGTCTCTTCCTCTCAAATGAATAAATAAAATGTTTTTTAAAAAGGGGGCACATGGGTGGCTCAGTCGTTGGGCATCTGCCTTCGGCTCAGGTCGTGATTCCAGGGTCCTGGGATCGAGCCCCGCATTGGGCTCCTTGCTCAGTGGGAAGCCTGCTTCTCCCTCTCCCACTCCCCCTGCTTGTGTTCCTTCTCTCGCTGTGTCTCTCTCTGTCAAACAGGTAGACAAAATCTTAAAAAAAAAAAAAAAAAGGATAAAGACAGCAAGACCAACCAGACTGATCACGCAGGCCAGCGGTCGGGGTCAGAGCACCCGAGGTCCACTGAGAATGGGCAAGGAACAGAGGTGCACAGGGACCCTTGGGGCTCCTGTCGAGAAGGGGCTACCCTCAGTCCCCGGGGCCAAGAGCCAGACGAGCAGCAGGCCCAGGAAGAGAATCCCAGAGGACTGGGGCCATGGCCCATGCGTCTCCAGCCCCCCATGCCCCACGTCGAGCCCTCCAGGCACTGGACGGCACCGGAGCACTTCCACACGGGAGGACACCCACCGCCCCGCGGGAACGCCAGCAGCATCAGAACAGGCCCCTCACCTGCGCCTCCCCCAGGTCGTTGTTCACCACGGTGAAGTTCAGCCCCAGCTCCTCTACATCGCCTTCATAGCTCTTGAGGAAAAGCAGATTCTTGTACACTTCAGGGTCGAGCGAGGCCAGATGATGGATGTCCACATCCGCGCTGGTGCCGAGCAGTTTGGACAGGAAGAAGCCGGCGAAGGGCAGTTCCACGAGCATGTTTTCATAGAGCGCCTGCAAATGAGAACATGGAGCAGTGGTTAGCGTCGGAGGGGCTCCTCTCTCAGCCTGCCCACCACTGAAGCCACCCACTCCGAGATTCCGCAGAACCCGGACGGACCGCAGACACGCTCCTCGCCATGCCCGCGATGGCGGGTGCGGACACCGGCGGGCATCCTCCACACGAGGCCAGGCTGGCCGCCCGGTACGTGTGTGCAGGGCATCGTACGTGCTAACGCGGACGCGGAGTGCACTTCGGGGTGCCTCGCAGAGTGTGCGCGCCCATGGACACTCCAGGGCCACATCGCCCGTGTGGCCACGGAGGGGCACGTGTTCCTGCAGACGCTTCGCAGGCATCGGGGGCTCTGAGGGCTGCTCGGCGAAGCCCCTTGCGGGGGGCTTGGAACGACAGCTCAGCACCTTGGAGCTCTGTGGGCCAGAAGTCTAACTCCGGGTGGCAGCAGGCACATCCCCTTGGCAGGCCTCCTTGTCTTCTCTGCTGTTGCTGACTGTACCCTGTGGCCCCTGGCTTTTGGCTGAGTCACTCCAAACTCGGCCTCTTCGAGAGGCCGTCTTCCCTGGGTGCGTGTCTGCATCTCCCCCCACTTCTCTCACAGAGACCAGTCACTGGCTTTGGGGAGCCACTCCTAACCCGGTGTGACTCACAGGAAAGGTTCACTGGCAAATAACATCAGGTTCACAGGTACGGGGGATTAGGATGGAACCCCATCTTTTTGGGGGTCACAATTCAACCCACGACCACAGGCTAGACCGGCTCGGTGGCCACTTCCCCACTCGGACTTTGTAGCAAAGAAGGAACATAGCGTGTGCATGAGTGAGGGCAGCTGTGCGCGGGCTGGACCGCATGTGATTCTCAATGTCATGAAATACTATTCTTCTGACTTTTCCAGCCCCCAGGAGGAAAATCATTCTCAGCACCTGACCACACAACCTGCCCCGCCCCGCCCAAAGACGAAGGGACCAGGCCCTGGGGCTCACAGGCACTTGTGCGGCCACGGTGGGTGAGCGTGTGGCGGAGCTGGCGTCAAACCCAGACGCCCCGACGGAGGACTTCTCCACTCGGAGTTACTGCCCACTGTTCTGCTGAAGGGCCACATGCATAACTGTCTTTTTACTTGTGTATGTTAAAGCATGATTTCCACAGAGTAAAATAAATTGTACAACCTCTAAGAGTACAGCCAGACGAATTACCTGGTCGTGCCCGTGCAGCGGCCACTTGGGTGAAGATACAGAGCACCTCCCCTCCCCCAACTTCCTATGAGAGCTCCCTCCTGTCCCTCACGTCAACCCCCTTCTGTGGCCACCCCCACCCCCAAAACCCCCTCCAAGGGCATCAGACAGCCCTTGTCTGCCTCCTCACTATGTAAGGCTATTCGTTTTTTCACATGAGGCCATGCAGCATCTCCAGCCCTGGGCCTGCTGATGGATGTGGGGGTTGCGTCCCATCTGGGGCTAGGGTAAAGAAAGCTGCTGGACCATCAGTGCGAGGCTTTCTGTGGGTCTGCGCTCTGCTTCCTTAAGGACAGACTGAAGACCTGCTGACCCAGGGGGAGTGCCAGGCATGGGTGTGTTCAGCTGCATCGGGAAAGGACACGCTGTTTTCCAAGCACAACCATGTCCCACCATGACCAGCAATGCAGGAAGCTTCCAGCTGGTCCAGACCCTTGTTGATGATCAGTGTTGTCAGCCTTTTTAAAGTTCAGTTATGGGGCGCCTGGGTGGCTCAGTGGGTTAAGCCGCTGCCTTCGGCTCAGGTCATGATCTCAGGGTCCTGGGATTGAGTCCCGAATCGGGCTCTCTGCTCACCAGGGAGCCTGCCTCCTCCTCTCTCTCTGCCTGCCTCTCTGCCTACTTGTGATCTCTCTCTGTGTCAAATAAATAAAATCTTTAATTTAAAAAAAAGAAAAAAAAAAAGTTCAGTTATCCTGGTTTGTAAGAGGGGGTATCTCACTATGGTTTTAATCTGCATTTCCCGGATGACCGGTGGTGCTAGATAAATTCAGTGACTATTACTATATTCATCTCCAGATTCTCTGTCCACAGGCTGGGGGTCAAGGGATGCAGGTTTTCCAACATGACGGCAGGTTCATCTTGCATGCTAAATACGCCTATGGTCTAAAGCTGTAAAATGCAACGAGGGATCAGAAGTGGGTTGTAAAGTTTTCAGAAACATTCTTATTTTCTTCTACATAGGAGAATACGTTCTAATGTACCCAAGCTACTACGTGCTGAGGCCAGCTCCAGGCCAGGTGCCACGCTCAGCACACACCAGCTGTGTCCTCTCCATCCGGCCTATCTGGAAGGTCTCCTAAGCAGAAAGCAACAGTCCCTCTTCTACAGAAGCCGAGGGGAAACCTGGCCCTTTCTGCTTGTATAAGTGTGGTCTGCAGAGACGTGAGAACGACAGGGAGAGCGGACTCACCACCCCCACGCAGTAGCTGGGCTGCAGGAGACAGCCTGAGGCACACATTCTCTTCTGGGGGACGGCAGGGGGCCCCGCTGCAGGAAGTACTCAGGGAGCTGTGCCGCAGACGTATGCAGAGATCTTCTCTAAGTCGCCGCTGGAAGACCCAAGGGTCACCAGGCTGCGCCGGGAACGCCGCCCCCAGAACGCTGCCACAAAACCAAACTGTCATCCCGGGGGCGGTCATTCAGCGGTTCACTTGACCCTGTCCACACACGCAAGAGGTGAGCCACGAGGCTCTGGTGATGCAGCTGTGCAAGCGAACTTACAGGAGACTGGCAGCTCCCGGGGGCCGGGGCTCCAGCCCTCCGAGCCACCAGCCCCCGTGCCACCCTTTGAGTTGGGCCTGGGAGCCCTGCCCTGGCGACGGGGACTCAGCTGGGTCATGTCCCTGTGCACCCTTTCCGCATGGGCAACAGGCGGTGGGGGCACCAGTCTGTACACCCCCGAGCCTTAACACGCCAAGAAACGGACCCTCACGCAGGGGCTTCCCAGTCCCTCCTACGCCCCCAGGAATGCTCAGGTTCACCTTGAGTGAGACCCACACTTTCAAGTCTCTTCCACTCTCAGGACTGGAAGGAACCAGAAAAGAGCCCTTAAACATGGTCCTGCACTGGGTTCTCGCCTCAGAACGCCACTGGCGCCCAGCGCGGATGAGCCCTTCTCCCTGAGGTGAATGCACTGAGGACGCCGGGTTCACTCTGTTAACTACGTACTTCATGGTGCCCCCCGGCCCATCGGACTCAGATGTTCTCTGTCTGCCAGGGAAACGGAACTGTTACGTCCCCGGGCTTCTATTTCTGATCTGAAGACTAATGAGCACCAATTAGTTCTGAAAATGCGGCGGAACAGGACTTGTGAGTGAGAAAATGAGCAACACGGCGGCGGCCAGCACTTAACCTGTCCACTGGTAACGCCAAGAAGGAGCTGTTCTGAGAAACTGCAGTTTGCTCGGTTAAGAACGGCTAACGCTATAACCTGCAGCCCTCAGGAATCCCATTATTTCCAAATGAGTGATGGCCTCAAAGCCAAGAAGAAGGTTCTGTCCCAGCTGTCACGATTGATTCCAGGTGTTGAAGGAAAGCGTCACCCGGACAGCGGACTTTAAAGCAAACCGGGAGCGTAAATCATGGGACGCTCGATACGTAAGGTCATTGTTTGCCACTTCCGCATCAGTAACAATAAACCAGGGAAATCCGTTAGATGGATCCGAGCTACCTGAATTTTAAACAGAAATCCCACTGTGACTCATAAAATGTAAATGCCGAGGTGCGATTTTTTACGTAAGGCAGGTTTAGGCCTTCAGAGCATTTAATACACAAGCACTAATGAGTGATAGCACTAAGAAGTCTGATTGCATCAGCTAAATGGATTATAAATTAAATTTCCATAATGTATGCAACTTAGATACAAATGAAAGCGTAAATCAAGGTATTTTCTAAACACAGGTTAATTATACAGTTTCAAAACTGCCTATTTTTTATGCAAAATAATCCACTTAGCATTTTTCACCCTGGCCTTGGTTCTCAGCCGGCTGAACCACGGCTGTCCCAGAAGCTCATCAATCACGACTCGTCGGGGAAAGAGTCGCAATAGGTATATGGAAAAAACCTGTAACGTATTTTTCAGCTGTCTGTCCTTTATGAGTGTTTATAGCTAGAAATTGTGCCAAAATGATTTGAAATAAAAAGGATTAATTACAGTAGAAGCCTTTTAATATAAGTGAGTCCGTCGCAATGCGGTTAATGCTGTGGCACTGCTGGGAGAGTGAGTGGGAGCCGCACGGGCACTTCTGTTTGCTGCCAAAGAACGTCAGTAATTTACTACATTAAGAATCAATAAAAAAATAATGCTTTTCAAATGCATCTCTATCAATCTTCAGGTAGTTCTAAAGCGAACGTTTATAACTTAATCTAAAAACTATATCAGAGTTGTCTTGTGTTAAAGCCACCCTAACTGAGCAAAATGTTGATAATTTTAATTATTTCAGATCATGCTAACCTTGGAGTTTATTTTTTTTTTATTTTTTTTTAAAGATTTTATTTATTTATTTGACAGAGAGAAATCACAAGTAGGCAGAGAGGCAGGCAGAGAGAGAGGAGGAAGCAGGCTCCCTGTTGAGCAGAAAGCCCGATGTGGGGCTTGAACCCAGGACCTGGGATCATGACCTGAGCCGAAGGCAGCGGCTTAACCCACTGAGCCACCCAGGCGCCCTAACCTTGGAGTTTAAAAAAATAAAAAAAGAAATGTACAGAAGGATGTGGGCTGGTCGTGCTGTCTACGTAACAGCTGTTCTTCCACAAGAGCAACCGAGCAGGAAGCACGGCCTCCATGTGGGACTGCTGTGGTTTTCAGGACCAGAAACTCCCACAGGGCAGAAAACACCCCTCATCCTTAATGCCCGAGTCTACGTACAACATGCGGCATCCCAGTCATTTGAGAGACATCTATTAAGTGACAACTATGGCCTTGGGACTACTTTCCACCTTTGGATTCCACAACCGTGAATTTGTTTGCAGAAACCCATTTC